TTCTTCTCCAAAAAGTGTTTCGATCAAACTTTCTCTTAATTATCCACATGATAGTATAGACGATAGTCAAGATTGTCAGTCTCAAAATTCTTCGAATTCCTATATAAAATTTAGATTTTTTCAAACTGATTCCAAAGATGATATCAAACAAGAAATTGCAAAAGCTTTTAATGTTGATGAGTTTTCTTTAATAGATGAAAGTGATAACATCATTACCGCAAGTTGGTTTTCTTTAGAAGATAATCAAAAATATAAAATTGTTGATCGTTCATCCTTTTTTAAAAAAAGTTGTGATGATGTTGCTTTTGTCGTGTCGAATAAAGGTAAATTTTATGAAAAAAAACGTGATCGTGAACCGTATCATGATAATAAAAAAGGTATAAAAAAAAAAAAACTTTTTTTTTCTTTGTAAACTTTGTTAATTTTTATCTCGTTTATTTATTCTAACTTTAATTTAATTTAATTTTTTTTTTATTTATTAGAAAAATTAACAAGCAACTTTTAGCATAATATCTTGAAAATCCTTTTAATATGCATAATAACCTTAATTCGAGTGTATGCATATATGTAAGTGAAATTTAGGAAAATATTCATTGTCCGATTTATTTTTCATAAAATTCAGTTGTACACTTGTCTTAGAAATGACAAATAGTATTAAATATTAATAATATCACTTCACTTATTTGTTGTTTAAAGGAAGTTTTTTCCTTTTTTCAACAAAGTACATGATCGGTACTGGAGTTATAGTCGACAAAGCTTTGTAAACATCTATTTCACGCTAAAACTAAAAATAGTAATAAGCGAGTTTTGAAGCGGAATAATAAATTAGACTAAGATTTTTTATGGTATATATTTTTGAATTCTTTAATTTTTTATCCCGCCATTAATTTTTTTTTTCTTTTTTGATAATTCATACAGTAATATACCACAGTAATATTTAATGTTATTGTGAATTTGATTACGAAACTACAGTATAACTTGTAATTATTAATACTTTTTTTTTATTTTCTTTTAAGTGATAATAAACCTTTTGATTTTTAATACGTACAGTACGTATGCATGTGAAATACAAATGGCATATAAACATAGTGAATATCTGTTCGACCAGGCATTTATGAACACCTTTTCCGTGCAATGTCTGCATACTTTCGTTTGCGAAATCTTTGTTATTCATATCGATATTCCTAAATATAATAAAAGAGGATCATCATCAGAATATCCATTTTATTAATATTCATTAATTACAAAATGTCTACAACCTGCTTGTTTTAGTATAAACCTTTTAAGTCAATTAAGTAAAATATAACGATAATTTTACGGTAATAAGAAATTTCCTACGTACGTACGTACGTACTGTACATACGAAATATAGTATCTACAAACCGATCACTCAGAAATCCGACTTTGTCGGAGACTCCTATTAGTTTGTAACCAATGCGATACGTCTATTCCTATTTTAGACTGTCACGATACCTGAAATTTCCCAATTTTGGAATCTTCCGGCCGAGCCACAAGATATTTACATCAAATCATATAAATAATGCAAAATGCATAAAAAACATAACTACGTATCATTATCAAAAATTTTTTTATTGTTATGTATTTTCGATAACGTAACAAATAATGATAACATTGATAAATTATTATTATTCTAATTAAGAAATTCTTTACTATATGATCGATAAAAGATATAAAAACTAAATTCGGTGTTGTAAAGTGCACATATGATTCCATAATATTTCATTCCACCTCAGTTACACACTTGTTCCTAAATCAGTTTTAAGTATTTATTTTATTTGTTTAAATGATCGTTACAGTCATATATAGGCAGTATTCAAAAAAAAAAAAAAATATTCCATGAGAATGTACATTTTAAGTTTGTTTATTTTATGCCGAAAAACTAATTAAGTGAACAAACATTCCATAA